CCGCCGCCGCAACCCGCGCATGCGTGTTTTTTTTTTTTTCGTGTTTGTGTGTGCGTGTGGGCCTGCGGCAGGAGTACGCAGGCGCAGGAACAAACAATAAGTCAGCAGTAAGCGCTCACATCGGCTATCTTATCACATTGATCGTTCACATTCATTGGCACGCTCGCATTAATTGCTTTAGTTTTCCTCCCTTTCCGCCATCTCACGCACGGTCTGCAAGATGTTTTTCAACTCGTCCATTTGGGGGTCGGCAGCCGACGCGTTTTGCCTTGCGGGCGGTCCCCCTCCGTTCTGCGCAGCCACCTCGTCGTCGCTGTTGCCGTGGCCCAACTCGGCCGAGCCCAACTTGTTGTTGTTGGTGCTGCCGCTGCTGCTGGCGACATTGTTGTTGTTGTTGTTGGTAGTGGTGGTGGCGGCGGTGCTTTCGCTCACACACCTCATCGGCCTCACATGCGCAGGCGACGCTCTTAACTGACAATGCGGCCCCGCGATGGGGCTACCGGCGCCGGTGCCGTTGTTGTTAGCGGCGCTCGTTGAACTGGCGCGGTTGAACTTGCTCGGTGTTACCGCTGCTGACCCGCCGTCCTCGAGGCAGTGGAAACCGTGCACGCACTCGTACATCCCCGTTTGCTTGTTAAGCTGTAGGTGGTTCATGGACCGCACGCTGTTGTGTACACTGCAGATGCCCTCCTCCCGCAATTTATTACCTCGCCCCTTGCGCGTACTAGTGGCGTGTGGCGATGCATTTCCCGTATATGCAGCGGCGCGCGGGCTTTCATAGTTGCTCGCGGTGGCGTGAGGCGTCCACTGCGCGCCACCAGCAGCATGAGACGTAAAGCGCCCAGCGGCTGCAGCTTGCTGATGCTGGGAAATCACAAGAGAGGCCTTTTCGCAGCGCTGCCGTATGCAAGGNCGTAAAGCGCCCAGCGGCTGCAGCTTGCTGATGCTGGGAAATCACAAGAGAGGCCTTTTCGCAGCGCTGCCGTATGCAAGGGCACAGTGTAGGGTTCTCATCAATGATGGAAGAGAGCACCATCAGTAGCACAGCACGGGGGCACTGCTGCAGAAGGTTGTGCGTGGCGAAAAGCTCCTGATCGGCGGCGGTGGCATGCTGCAACTGATACTGCAGGCTTTGTTGCTGAAGGAGCGCCAGGTATGCGGCGTTGGAGGGACTATCGGCGGCAATCACATTGGCGTTGCTGTACGCACCCCCTGCACCAAACACAAACGCTGGGGCGTTTGAATTGAGCGGTGCAGAGACTCCCTCCGTCGGAGCGCTGTTCACGCCTTCCGCCACAACAAACGTGCTGTTCGTGCCATTGGCATCCGTCAACTTCATCTCTAGCTGTTTTTCGTCCAGTTTGGGAATGGTGAACTGCTTGCGGCCGCCACTGGGTGTGGTGGGCTTCAGCTCGTGGTTGCTGCTGTTGGACGGCGCCGGTAGCATACCGTTCGACGACGATGACGACGCGGAATTCCCCTCTGGCATCGAGACACGACCTCACAAACACGAAAGATACAAAGAGGCAAGGTATATATAGATGTAGATGGGTATATATATATATCACTTGTCTCCACTCTTTCCTTTCCTTTTTCGCTACGGCACGCCTATACTACTATTCTCGTTTCTCGCTTCTTGTGTTCCTGGCCGATCCCGCTTAGCGCTTTCCTTCTCTCCACGCCGAAAGATAACGAAACAGCCACTTGAAGCCGCTGGCACCACAAGAAAACTCTTCTTTTTTTTTGTTTTATTTCACCACGCATACGAATACAAGCAAGCAAACCAAAAGGGGAAAGGAGGCGCAGATGCGCGGGCACACGGTGTGAGAGACAGAGAGACAGAGAGAGACGCAGCGGCACATTCGCACCTGCCCGCAGTCACGCAGAGCCGCGACGGGTCCATGAGCGCGGCATCAAATCGCCACCAACAGAATACCCTCTTCGCAAAAAAAGAAAAAAAGCGACCACCACATGCATGGGAGCACACACACACACACACACAAATGTCAAAACGAAAAAAAAAATTGGGGCTAAAGAAAGCCGCTATTGCTTCGTCGTTGTAGGGAAGATATTTTCTTCTTTTTTTTCTTGTTGTCGTTAAGCCGCTCCCGATAATGTGTGCGCGTTAGTAAATGATCCGTGCCTTGGATTGCTCCCCCGCAGCAGCAGCCTCCCTCTTGTGGTGAAGGTCAGGCTTATGCAGGAACTCGTCGGCGCACTTCTCCGCCAAGGCCAGCATGTACGGCAGCGAGTCGCCCAGCAGAGGGGAGGGGAGAATGCTCTCATCGCATGCGTACACATTGCTGGTGTTCTTCACCAAGAATGTGGCGGGATCTAGCACGGGTGACGTAGCCCCACCGTAGATTCCCGCCGACTCAAAGTGTTCGCCAACCATCTCAACAAAGACATTCGAGAAGGGTTGCATCTTGCTTAGCTCCGTCACACGTGCCACAGCCTTGCGGAGAGCCTGCTCGTCATCAGGGTGGGCCAAGTACTGCGGGTCAATTGTCCCGTCAGCCTTGATGCAGCCACGGCTTTTCGGACGCACCAGCTGGGCAATGATTTGCACACCGTGTGCCACACCATCCGGCCTCGAACCGTCGTTGTTCATCGTAAATGGCTGGAAGATAAACTTGACATCGGGGTACTCCTGACCGGTGCTAGACCAGTAGCAAATCATGTCGTCGTAGGCGGAGCACAACGCGAGGGGAGGCTTGCCGTACCTGACGTTCAGCCCAAGCCACAATTGCACCAACGGGTCCATGAAGCAGTTGTGGCTGAGGGGCATGCGGGTGCGGAATTGCATCTTGACCTGTGGCGTGTCCCAGAAGTTGCTGCCAACTGCCGGGTCGATGGAGAGTGTTCCCTGCGAGGAGGCGAGCAGTCGCGGCGTTCCAATGCCACCGGCGCACAGGATGACGGCATCCGCCTCTATGTGTTCTGTGCGGCCGTCCGCAGTGGTGTACGAGACACCGGCAGCGGTTGTCTTGTCACCCTCCACGGCGCTGATGCCGAATACGTGCGCATTGCAGGTCACATGCAAAGGCCGCTTGAGAGCGATGGTCTCCAACAGATAACTCTGCAGAGTCGTGTTCGCCTTGCCAGACCGCTGATCGATGAAAGCCTCCGCTCTGCCACACCCCGTCCGCACGCGGTACTCCTTCTTGTTGAACTCACTGGTCAGTGCGGTGTCCTTCGACATGGCCTCGCAGAATGTCTTGAAGAACGGCGAGAGTGCCTGCGAGCGGGAGATGAAGAACTTGCCGCGTCGTCCGCGGTGCGGCGCCGAGAACTCCAAGTTCTCCAGCTTCTGCACGCGCGGCAGCAGCTCGTCGCGGAAGCTCCACGCGGAAGCGGTCCAGTCTTCCTGGTCGCCGAGGTTCCACGAGCGGCCGCCCATCACGCCGCCGCCACCAAGCACGCACGGCGTGGGGATCATCACCGGCACCGGCGCAGCGCCGTCGCGATGTGTCTTTTGCGGCGCCGTAACATTCTTGGCGCTCTCGTAGTTTCGGCGGGCGTGGCGGTGGGCAAGGAGGCTGCACGGAATGTCGCGGTGCCAGCGCGGCTTCTCGCGAATGTCGGCGCCCTCCTCAAGTACGACGGTACTGACGTTCTCCATGCCGAGGCGGCCAGCAATGAGGCAACCGGCAAGACCGCCGCCGACAACGGCGACGTTATACCTCGAGTGGAGGAGCGTAACGCCACGGTGCATCCCAACGTGCAGCTCAGTGACACTACGCACTTCGTCCCTACCAGCACTACTACTACTACTACTACTACTATTTCCGTGTAGTGTGTGTCTGTGTGTGTGTACAGCGGCGGTGTGGCAAAGCGAAGGGAGGGGAGAAAGAGAGTAAGAAAGAAGCAAAAAGAAAAAGCAATCGGCATGTGGGGGACGAGGAGAAACGGGCACATCGCCCCAGCATCACAGCAGCACGTTATTTCATGCATTACTTCGGCCGCACACTCTGTGCCTCTCTTTCACCGCGCAGCACACGAGAAATATTAGAGAGAAGGAAAATGGAGCATGTGTGCTTAGACGTAAGCTGAACGGCATGGCAGCAGGCCAGCGCGAGGGTCACGGCAGAACACCAGGGGAAGGGGGAACAAAATTGCGCAACTCTATTGTGCGCTGCAGCAACAGCACCAACATGAACCACCAAACAACAAAGGAATAAAAAGAAAAGAGGAGTAGGCGGCCAAGAAAACACGAACACTTTTCCTGCGTGCACATATATATATATATATATATATGTGTGTGTGTGTATTGATCTGGGTGTTTGTGTCCGGCACACACCCAAGTGCGAGTCAAGCAGCGAAGAGATTCCCTCAGAGGCGGGACAATAAGAATGAGCACGCACGCACACATGCTTGAAGAGATCCATCAAACTGAAACAGTAAAGCCATTTCTTGTCCTTCTGCTCCCATTCCGTCATACCACCATCCTCTCTCCCCCCCTCTCTCTCACACACAAACACACCCTTGCTGCTTGGCCACCTTAGTCTCCCAGGCACTACGGCAGACGCATACACATACACATACACACACATACACACACACAAAAAAAGTGCGTTAACAAGCATGCACATGCAAGGCCGCATGTCCCTTTCCCCCAGCACGGTCACAGCACAAAAACATACACATACTTGTGGTGGTTAGAATGATGATGATGATGGAGCCACAGAGAATTGAAGCGGAGCCATAGTACGGATGGGTTCACCACAACAAAATGAAAAAAAGAAGGAAGAGACCTCACCAGATGTCATTGCAACAACTGGCGATTAAATGCATCCTCACATACAATCAATTGCGCAATTACCGGTATGTACTTTTGATGCTCCTCTGGGAGCATCTCAGCCACGCGTTGCATCGCCTCATCATCCTCCGCGGCGATGTTATTCATCTGGCGGTACGACGCCATCAGCGCGACCTCCCCTAACTTCCCCTCGAGGAACAGGCGCAGCGACTCGATGCGGTGCATCAGCGGGTCGCTCGCCTGCACATTTGGCAGCACAAGCGTCTGCCCATCCACCATGAACTTCGTCAGGTCCGTGTCAGGGAACGCCTCGTCATTAAAGTCTTCCTCAGCGGCACGCTTGTCACCCTGCGTCAGTGCGGCGTCAATGGCAGTCTGTAGCGCATTCAGTTCTGCTTCGCGTTTCCGTCCCTCACCACTCTCGTCAGCGGCCACGGAATCACCGTTCACTGCGTTGCAGCTGCGTCCCCTATCTACATTTGCCGCGGGTGGCGCTGTCGTGAATGCCCCATTCGGTGGAGACCGCTGCGCGTAGACAACTGAGCTTGCCTCCCTTGAGACCTCCTCCGGTTTCTGTTGCAGCTGTGATTGTTTCTGTTGCTGTTTGGTCTGCTGTGTCTGCTGCTTCGGTGGCGGCGGCTGCGTCTGTTGTTGCTGTTGTTGTTGTTGTTGTTGTTGTTGCAGCGACGAACGCTTCGGGGAAATGACGTCAGGTGCGGCATCGAGGCCAAGCGCACGTCGTTTGTTTTCCTCCGCCTCGCGCCGCATCTGCCAGAAGGCCTGTCGTCGCGCCTCCTCCGCCTCTTCTGCAGTCATCTTTCCCAGCGAGTTGACGCGTTGTGGACGTTGCGCGGGTGGTGATCCTCGCACCCCTGATGTTCGCCGTCGCGGCTCCAACACGAGAGCGGGCTCGACGCGCTCCGGCTGCAACTTCATGTCCTCCATCATGCGCTGCTTGTTTAGCGCCGCCTGTCGCCGCATGTCACGATACAGCTCAGCAGCAGCAGCAGCCGACAGAGGTTGTTGCTCTGATCGCTTCTCACAATTGAGATTGTTATTGTTGTTGTTGTTGCTGAAGAGCCTTTCGCGAAGGGCATCTTGTTCCGCCTTCTCGCGGGCAAGGCGCTCTTCTTCTCGTTGTTTGCGTTTGAACGCCTCCGCCTGCTCCCGCATATTGCGTTCCCATTCTTCTTCCCGCTGCTTCTGCAGAAGGGCCTGAGCCTTGGCACGCCGTTCCACCACCCGTCTCTGCTCGCGCGCGCGTGCCTCCAACTCCTTCTTCCGTGCGTTCTGCTCAATTTCCGCTTGACGCTTCTGCTCCTGTATCTGCCGCAGCCGCTCTTCATTCTCACGCTGCCGCTGGTCCATCTGCATCCGCAGCAGCTGTCGTTCCTTTGCAAGTTTCATCGCCTTCGCCTGCTCCTCTTTTCGGCGCTCCTCGACACGCGCCACTGCGTCGCGCTGTGGGGTGCGCACCCGCTCAACTCTCCCCTCTGACGGGGGGCACAACCGCTTGTCGTGGTGCGCCACCTCTACCGCACGCTGCAAACTCGAAAGCGAGTCGCGAATGAAAGGAAGGGAGATGATTTGACTAACATTCGGACGTAGCTGGGGGTCAATCTGGAGCATGGTCGAAATAAGCTTCGACAAGTTAGCAGAGTAGCTAGTGTGGATGGGTGGATAGACACCCTTGAGGATTTTCTGCACGAGGGCCTTCATGTTGCTCCCGTCAAAGGCGTGGGTGAGTGTCGTTAGCTCATACAATATACAACCTAGGGCCCAGACATCGCTCTTGTTATTGTATGGCTTGTTTAGGCAGAGCTCGGGGGAAAAGTAGTACGGCGTCCCGCACACCGTCCGCTTCAGCTCAAAGGTGTTCCGTAGAACTGTGCTGATACCGAAGTCTCCTAATTTCACTACGCCGTCCGTCGTCAAGAAGACGTTTTGCGTCTTGAGGTCGCGGTGCAGAATGTGCCGCTCGTGCAGATGGAGAAGGGCTAGACACAACTGTGAGAAGTAGTGCAGGATCTCGTCCTCCGTGAACCGTGCCCCCTTGCGGTTCCTAATCTTCGTATAAAGGTCGCCACCATTGGCATGCTCCATTACTATGAAGAGAGACCCGTGGTGCTCAAAGTGATCTACATAGCGCGTGATGTTGGGGTGGTTCAGCGTGCGCAGCATGTCAATCTCGTGCTTTGCGCTCTCCCGCTCAGCCGGCTTCATACCAACGAGGCGCACCTCCTTCGCGACGAACTGCGCCTTGTCGCTGCGCCGCTGCACTAGCCACGCGGAGCCGAAGGAGCCCTTCCCCAGCACACGGAGCTGCACGTAGTTCTCCATTCCCGCCGCGTGCTCCCCCGCTTGTACGGCCTCGCAAACACGCACACAAACCAAAGATTCCCTTCCGCTGATTTTCCCTTCTCTCCCCCTCACTGTTGCTGAACGCGCTGTTACCAGGGGCCCTTTTTCTCGTTGTTCCTCTTACTACGTCGTCCCTTCTTTTTCGTTGTTCGTTTGCTTTGAATATTTTCCTTTTGCTCTGCTTTGCTTGACTTTCTTCCTTCTATTTTTTCACACTTCCTTACTGCGCTTCGACGGCAACCGCGCAAGGCTCGCACAACGGGCAGCGACAGCCAACCAAACAATAAGGAAAAGGAGAGAGGATGCGGCGGGGCGCCAACAGGAGCCGCACAAGCGGAAAGAGAGGGAGATTGAGGCACGCTGACTCTCACAAGCACGCGGCAGTTCACACAAGAAAAAGGAAAATGGCAGCTACTAGTCGAGAATGTGGCGCACCGAGTAGTAGTGATGATTTCGGGGGAGAAACAACAAGAACCACAAAAAAAAGGACACAACCCTGGCGGCTCTTTTTTTCTCTCTCAATCTCTCTACATCAGCCGGCGGTGAGACCACACTATCGCTTCGCAATATCGGGGCTGACAATCATGCGCACCATCCCAGCGATGGCGTTTTCATTGTTAATGACGTTGCGGCGGATGTTGTGGGTCTTGAGTATTTGGTCATTGATGGCATCCTCCAAGTTCTGCAGCTGGGCGTGCACCTCCTGCAGGCTCTCCATTGTCTGTCGCCTCGCGTCTGCGGCGGCCAGCGCTTGACCCCGCGCCTCCGCTCGCCACATCTCCAACTCCCGAGCCATTGTGTCTATGTCATCGTAGATGACCTCCAAGAGCTTGCCCAATGGGTTGGATGCCTTGGTGAGCAGCTGCAGCTGTTCACGCAACTTGCTTAGTTCCCCCTCCACCGTCGCGTTGCTGGACTTGCCGCCTCTATTGGTGTGAATGACGATGCCGCCATCGCGTGGGGCACGCGCGTCCACCTCCCGCGCCCGCTGCGCCGCTGCCTCCTCCTGTTCCCGCTTGGCTTTCAGCGCTTGCTGCCCCAAGTAGCCCTTCGCCTCGGCCTCGCTGGCAGTGCCAGGTGCTGCTGCTGCAGTGCTGCTCGCCGGCTTCGCTTCCTGCTGCTCCGCGATGCGCATCCAATCCTCGTTGTCGGCGGCGCTACCCGCCAGAGGTGACGTCTTGTCGTTGGTGCGTTTGCTCTCGCGGATGACACCGGCGACGGGTGCCGCACCGCTGGGGGACCCGTCAACGACCTCGTGTGTCGGCTTTGTGCGCGGCGGGGCCTTGCCAGCCGCCGCCGCCGCCGTAGTAGTAGTAGTAGTAGTAGTAGGAGTAGCGCGCGGCTCTGGGCGGGAGGGGCGTGCAAGCAACGACGCGCTGTTCTCGGCTGTTGCCACCTCCTCCTTTTCCGCAGCTTCCCTCTCACGCCGCTTTTTTTCCTCGTGTCGCTTACGGTGTTCTTCGTCGTCGACCTTTGGGGTCTTCTCATCCGAAGTATCCTTGCGCTTCTTTTTCCGCTCCTCGCTTTCCTTCTTCTTCGCGTCATCTAGCTTCTTGGAAGCCGCTCCATCATCGCCGTGTTTCTTCTTGTCGTCGCCGTCGCGTGCCAAAGCAGCGGCCTTCTCCTCTTCTTTTTTCTGCTGCTGTTGCTTAGCTTCTTCCGCGGCGGCGGCGGCGGCAGCGGCAGCGGCAGCCACTTCGGCCTCCTTCTTTCGTTTCTTCTTTTCTTCAGCCTCGCGTTTTTTCTCTGCCTCATCCTCATGTTTCTGTTCCTCCTTGCGCAGCCGCCTCTCCTCTTCCTTCTTTTTTTCGTCATCCTTCTCCTTGTTGGGAGCTGTCATTTGCGCCTCCTGCTTGGGTGCCTCGGGCTTGCCGCCTTTCGCCTTCGCCACCGCCGCGACTTTTTTCTCAGCAGGGAGCGCGGCGCAGGTTGCGAGGAGCTGCAGCAACTCATTCGTCTTGTCCGCTTCCTGTCCCGCGATGATCTTTGACGGGCTTGCCGAGACCTTCTGCCCTGTTGCAGCCTCTATTGCAGCGATGAGAAGCGTCAGGAACTCAATTTTTTTCCCCTTATCTGTTATGTTGCCGCTGTCGAGCATATCACTCGTGTAAAGGCCCTCGGGGAATGTTGTTGCCTTCAGAAAGCTCGTGACGATATCATGCAGGAAGCGAAACGGTGGCTTTGAGAGGAGCTTCTCAGTGAGTTTGGGTGTAGTGATGATGGCACCCAGCTCCTTCTGAGTCTTCTCCACGTACGCATCGGTCATCCTCTACTTGTCCACTGGTGCCTCTTCTGGTTCTAAATCTCTCGAAGGAGTCTGCGCTGCGGGGCTCCGCTTCTTTCTATTCCTGCTATGTGTGTATTGCACGCGCTGCTCAATGAGAACACAATAGGGGAAGGGTTCCGTTGAATCAACTGAACATAATGAAATAAGAGACATAGCAGCAGTTGTGGGACTCCTCCATTCATCGTATGCAAAGAAAGAGAAACTGATGCCCACGCACCGGCATCAAGCCGCAAACACAGTCTATCTATCTAGCTGCACCAGCTTGCAGTCTGTCGTTGACACAATGTTACTAAGCAGCACAGTCCTTGCAAAGTATGTCGTCTTCTCTTCTCCAAGCGCCTGCAGGGCACGAAGCCACCGCTCGTCCCCCATTTGGTGGTGCAACGTGTCGCTGAGGAACACCATCCTGGCGTTTACCAGCACATCCTCTAGTGCCTGGCGGACCCTATGCGTGGCATGCAGCAGTCTGAGACAGCACTCACAGGCCGGCTCAACGGCAACTATCTGCTGCGGCTGTTGCTGCTTAGGCAGTCTATGCCTCGCTGGACCCAGCGACGCAGCGTATGGACTACCGGCAGGTCTTCGATCTTTATCGACCGCTGTGCGAGGAATCACTTCTCGCCCAGGCATCACACGGTGGCAACCCCTGCAGCAGGAGAGACAGAAAGGAAAGCGTGAGGAACGTGCCACAATCTTCCGAAGTGAGCATAGCCTCAAATAAATAAGCGTTAGTAGACACATCAACAGATGAACTTGTCGCCAATATTTCTCCAAACACCCCCAACAACAACAACAACAACAACAACAGAAATACACAGAAACATATACGCATCACTCCGCTGATGTGCCGTAGGGGCGAAGACGCTTAAAATTGCCGTCTATCATCTTTGTGAAGGCCGACTGAAACGCCTGAGACCACGCCGCCTCATCCACTGCGTATTGCTCCACAAACTTTCGCCAGGTTTTGTTCTGCAGCATTGCGTCCACTTCGCGACGATTAAACACACACTGCTGCTTCTTCCCCTTCTTCGCTGTCGGTGCGTAAACACACACAAAATCCTTTGGAAGGTGCTGGATGGATTTGTTCTCTTCCGTACGAGGAACCTCAAACTCGACAAATTTCTTTTCATTCGCCAGAAGGAACTTGTAGTATTCATTACTCAAGTTATAACGGCTGCCAATGTGGGATAGGCCGTCAAGGCCACTCACATGCTCGTGGAACTCCCCTACACTATGACACGCCATCAGCGCAACGCACTCTGCGTCGGTGAGGCCGCCAAGCCTCTCAAGAAACGCTGGCAGCGTAGCGCACGAAGAGTCACTGGCGCCTTTCTTCCGCGGCGGAGCTTCATCCGTGTCATTGCGGCCCCACCGCCAGACGGTCCCAATAGTTTCGCACGGCCCTTGCAAGTACTTCACCGCCGCGAGCGCCACCAGGGAGGCGGCGTCCTCCGTGGAGATGCTGTACACCGTTGAGAGATGCCGCAGCACCCCGGCGATGTCCTCGAGGCCGCTCGCAACAGCGCACGAGTCATCGATAGAGTCCACCGCAAGTCCAGCGCGACGGGCGGCGAGGATAAATGCAACGCGGATGCCTGTAGCCGCGAGGTCGGGGCGGAAGTCAAATGTCTTCGCGACATCCGCCAACACCGCCTCCTTCAAGAAGGGGGGCCGAAGTTCCCTCTCATCCACCTCCACCACTTGACCAGCGGCGATGCCTCCTGCAAGGCAGCCGACGCACATCATGATAAGCCACTTATGGTTCATATGCTCCCACGACTTGTACGGGTTCGCCTGCTGGTGCTGCGGGCCGCTGCGACCAGGGCCGATGTTCTGCGGCCCCTTGAAGCCCCGCCCTACCGATGCTCCTGCTTCCGGGGTAGGGGCTGCTCCCGCGTAGAAACGAGCGAGGCGGGCCAACGTGGCAAGTGGCACTCGCAACGGCCTCATCCTAAACACACGGCGAAGTCTCTCGCTTTTGCTATTATCACACCCACTTCCGTGTGAGTGTCACCAGCTGCGATGGTAACAAGCACAAAGAGAAGGGAACAAGAACGAGAGAAACCAAAGGAGAAGCATGACGGTGATAATAAACCCCACTCACCGCCTCTCGCACCACTCCATATTTGAGGGTAACAAAAAGGACCACAAAATATGCGCAACGCAAGCAACTCACAAGCAGGCACCAAGCAGAAAAAGCAGCAAAGAAAAAAAAAACGGCATCCTCATTCTCATCATCGACGTCGTCATCATGGGCATCCGCAAAGCAAGAAAACCACAACATCATTAGTCGCCATGTTCGAGAAGTTTGTTGAGGAAGTCATCGCACGTGTCAAGTATCTCGTTCAGCGTCTCATCCTCCTCTTTTTTGGCCGAAACCTCCATCAGCTCCTCAACACTGAGAGAAAAATTTCGCACAAAGCCAAGGCAGCACTTCCGCACAAGGTCACGCAATGCGCAAGCTGCCAGTGTGTCGAGGAGTGCTGCCCATGCTTCTAAGAGGTCTGACGATGCTGTGCTGAGGATGTCGAAAATGCGCGCCATAACGGGCGGTATTTGCGGCATATTACTCTCAATTGCCACATTCTCACACTCAAGCTGTACACGGAGCAACACCACAAGGAAGTCGAGGACTGTGCCAAGTGTTTTGCCCGCCTCCCGGAGCACGGGTGGGGAGAAGCGAGTTGTGCTGGCCGCCTGTTGTACATCACTACGAATGCGATTCGCAGCAGTGTGAATGCGGTCGACGGTGCCAAAGAGGACAGCCTCCACCTGATGCACGCCTGGGCACTTGGCAAATGCTTCAATCAGCTGCACACACGCCCAAAAGAATGTGGCGTAGTTAGAATCTGCTGTAAGACACTGCAGAAAAAGAAGAAGGGGCTTCACGGCCAACCACCCAAAGATGCCACTCTCACCCCTTTCAAGGCAACGCCCTTGGTAACTGTTCACTGTGGAAATCACCTGATTGTACCGCTCAATGCCCATGCCTTGAATCTCCAACTGAACCTCTATAGCCTCTTGTGCAACCAACAAATTACGAAGAAAGCGTTCTTCGTGTCGCTTCGCCTGACGGGAAGGCAGGCCCGCCGTTATGAGAGGCTCTTGTACTACAATAAGTAGGCGGCGTGTCAATGTGCGGGCAACAGCAGCACCGTCGCGCTGGATCAACAAGGACAACAAGGTGCGAACAAATTTCTCTCCTTCGGTGTAATTCTCCTTCAACAACATCGTGGCAATGTTGCAGGCAGTCTCACTATCAACAAGGTCAAGATTCCCAGCGTTGGCAGCAAAGAGTTGCACACCACTAATAACTGTCCCGGCATCTCCAGAGTGCAGAACGTGTTGCAGTAGCAAATTAAGCCGAAGTGCCTCAAGCTTCTTGAGATCTTCGGGATTGGGTCGTACGAGCTCCCGAATTTTGTCGAGAGGCAATGTAATGCAGAGCCGTTCGCTTGAACGCACAATAAGCTCATTGAATGCTTGCAAAGCCTGTGAATGCGAGGCTGCCTCCATACCAAAAACACGCTGTGCCTCCTCTTCAACCTTTTCCTTGTAGTCAAACTTGGGTATCATCATAACGTCCATAAGAGCAACGAGCGCCATCGCCATTGCTGTTTCCTTGCGGTTAAAACGCTCGACAGCACAATCGGTGATAATCTCATACGCCGCACGCAGCTGCCTCGCATAGAGGAGGCCTGCGGCTTGTCGTTCACGCTCTCTTAGATGGGGTGCCTCTTCACCGACCTGCTGCGGGCTCACACGGTCAGTTATTGACGAAGAGAGGGCAGCAAGTGCCGGTTGCAATAGTCCTGTTAGTGTCAGCTCTCCACCGCCTGTAACACCAAACACGCGTTGCTCCACCGATGACGGCGTCACCGCGAGGTCGGCCACAAGGTACTTGTACTGGGCACGCCCAACGCAATAAGTCGGGGGATACCGCAGGTTCCACATAGAAACTGAGCCATCAATGCCACCGGTGGCGAGGAGATCTGGGTGGAGCCTCAGCCACTTGATTGACGAGACATCACCCTGCAAAGATGGAATTGTGCGCACCGCGCTGTATGGATACCTACAGTCAAACACCGAGATGGTGCCATCCGACGACGCAGCTGCCACAACAAAGGGCAGTAGCGTGTTGTAGTCCGCGCACCGCACCATACATCCAAGACGCATCGGCAGCGTCAAACTTTTCATAGCACGGTCATCCTCTCGCATGTCGGTTAGCATAAGGCTGCCATTGTAGCTACCGGTGAGCACAACGGCATCACTGCGCGGCGCCCACTGCGCAAAAAGAAAGGCATCATGCTCACCATTGATATCCGCGTTGGAGGACCAAGTACGGACGGGGTAAGCGTCACCCTCCATGTCCCACACCATGGCACGGCTGTCCGACACCGCCACAACGCTAGATGCATTCACACCAGTGTTGAACCGCACACTGCGAACAAGTGTCGATGCGGCGTGGCTGCTCGGTGTAACGATAATGTCACCAACCGTCTGCTGTACATCCCTGGTCATTAAACACCCAGTGGGTTCCAACGTCCCACTACTCTCATTCACACTGCGTGGGTCGATCTCCACTACAAAGATGCGTCCGCGGGTGCTGCCGACAAGGAGCAACTGGTTGCACCAATCCACACCGCTCAAGCACACGTCGGGTAGCATGTCAAGCCACCGCATGCGTGTTGCCCCCTCAAGCGTTGGCTCGGTGCTATCAAATGCCATCAGCCCGATGCTGCCGCCTCCACCCAGTGGGCTGAGGCCCATCGCCAGCACACTCTCGCTATTGTGTGGTGCCAGTCGTGCAGTACTGAACACGGTTCCAGGAGCCGCAAGAGGGCCGCTGTTTGCAATGACGCTTGGGTGGTTGCGCAGCAGCCCGCGCAGCTGCGCCTCTCTTCGCCAGGCAGAGGTAGCCGTGTAGAGCGGCACCTGAATGATGCTATCATCCATAAGAAGAAAAGGCTCTTCTTCACAATTTATACTATTATAACCAGTGAAATAGAAGAAAAAGAAACATCATTCATATATACATAAATATGTGCAGATGCACCCATGCATTTGCTGTTTTTGAAGAGAGCCGCCCCGCTGCTTTCACTTAGAAGAACATTAGCAAAAACAGCAAATGAGCTGATTGACAATAAAAACTTGTCGAATGCACAGAAAGGGAATGAAAGCACTATTCGATAAAAGGTCTTCCTCCGTTAAGAAAGAGGTTGCACTGCTCTTCCGCCTCTACTCGCTCGCTTCGCAGCTGCTCCAACTCATCTAGACTTTTTTGAACAAAATTCACGAACATTTCTTTCAGCGCAGTCAGCTGTGCATCTGCGCGAGCACGCTCTACTTGCGACTCGGATTGGAGACCCCGGACAGAAGCAACACCACAACCATCACCACTACAACTCCAACCAAGCGAAGAAGAGCAGGAAGTTGCAGAAAACTTTGTTATTTCTGAAGTTCCATGTTGGATATTGCGGCGGACACAGTCTAGTTTACTCTGTATTTCTTTCAGTCTTGACATCATGCGTGCGTCTTCCTCGCTACCGTTGTCTCTACTTCTGCATGCAGAGGATTCAATCTCATCCTCCATGTAACTAGCCGTCCCCTTAACAACTATAGCTGGGCGGCGAAGTTCACCTTCAGCGCGGCTAGTCATATCTATCAGTAACTGTTGCAAGGTTTGCAGGCGGCCCTGCATGTCTAGCTGGCACCGCCTGGTGTAATACTGCAACTGTTCCATATCGCTGTGAGCTTTCCCCACTGCGTAGGCCAATTCCCCACGCTTCTTGACGCCACTCTCCTGGTGACGCCGCAATCGTGCCTCAAGCTGCCGCAGAATATGCTCGCTAGATTTGCACTCCACCTGCTGCGCCCGCCGCTCGGTGTCCCACGCTGACGGCCGCACCAATGGGTCCACCAAAGCACTATCTTCAATTATGGGTGCGCTGTGTTGTGGAAAATTTTGGACAGAAACACCTGCTTGGTGGTCGTTTGCTCGCATGTGGTTAAGCTGCTCACGGAGCTGCTCAAGACACATTGCTGCCTCGTCCAAGCGCCCATTTCCGGCGTGATGATGCTTCATCCTCCTACACTCTCGTGATCCTGTGCTACTCAAGTTTCAGTTAAGCAAAGAAAAACAGTATACAAAACCGGAAAGTAATGCTACAAGTAACTCCCTCGTTTCCGACGTTATCACGTTCAGCCATGGAAGAGGCAATACCACTCCGATGCAGTCAACATAATTGAAGACACCGAATGGTGACACCAACGTCAAAACTGAAAACGTGACGCGCTCAGTATTGTGCGAGCGGCACAAAGCGAAGTGGCAATGACTCGTAAATATATATTTTTTTTCCTTGTTTTCTTTGCACAGAAATGCAAACGCACGCACACACAAACAAGCAAGACCGAAGGAAAAAAAAAAAAGGGGTGGTGGTTGAGTGTGTGTGGATGCAGCAAACAAGGGGGATAACAAACCGCCTTGGGGTACATCACTCGTGCGTTGCCCGATTGTATGACAGAGTTTATACTTTTGTTGTCACACGGCACGCAAAAAAGGAGACACGGGAAACACGAATTGTAAGAGGTCCACTGTATCATCGGATACGCGTCGGTCTGCTGCTAATGCCTCGGCTTCTGCTGCTACTGCTGCTGTGGCCGCCACCACTTCTATCGGCACCGCATCCCCCGTCAACCAATTCCTGAAAGGCTCGTGAGGCCACCAATCTCAAGTGTGTGAGAAAAAACACAAACGACGCAGCGGCGACAGGGAGAAGGCAAAACCCACGGAAATCGGTCCATAACAATGAAAGTGGAAACAGTGTTGCAATGAGAAGGCACACACCTGTGATAAAGTCCTTTGCACGTCGAGTAAGACAGAAGTCTAGCAGAAAAAGCAGCGTTAACACCGAAAGGCTGGCGAGCACCGGAATGGAGCCGATCAGCGCGTAGATGCGGCCCCCATGCTCCACGTACTGAAGTATGCAGAATATAGCCCCAGCGAACATAACAGGAAATGCGTAGGGGACATTTATTACCAAAAACGCCATGATAGCTGTGGGCCTGAAGTCCGTTCGCTGCTCGTGCAGCTGCTGTCGTACATCCGGTGCGACGCAAGAAAGCAGTATGTAGAGCTGCCACAGACAGAGGGAAACAATGGGCGTGGCACCACACCACAGCCACCCAAAGCGCTGTTCGTCAGCATAATTGATTTGTACCAACAAAGTTGGAAACGCAATGCATATTATGCCAACAAGAATTGCTGTGGCAGAGCGCATAATAAGAGGCTTGTTTTTCCGCAGACGGTAAAAAAGGGGTTTCGGTTCGAAGTGTGCCTCCATCACAACATTTGCAATGACAATAATGCCAATCGCAAGGTACGTCATCCACAACAGGGAAAATGCTGTTCTAGGCGTACACAACTCGCCAAACGCAATTCCCTCCGCCGCACAAATGGTAGTGCCAAGGAAGAGTGAGAACGACAGGAGTGTCCATGAGAGAAGCATTTGCAAGACAAAAACACGCCGCCGCTGCACATATTCATGGTAACTGCGACACTCCTGGTAATGTTTAACTTCCTCCATTGCATAGAGCAGTGTCTGACTAGTGGGTGCGACAAGCGGCTCCATGGTGTCATGTTGTGTAATAAACTGCTCGGGTGCACCCAGGCGTCGCATGCTGTTCAGAAGCCGCATGTCAGATTGGTCTAATGGGGCGCTGCGCAGCCGCTGTACGAGTGGATACGCCACAAAAATCTTTTTGGCAACGAATTCCCACATGACAGTATGCTGGCATGCGTGGTACCACTGCAAGCATACACTTGAGAGTACACCGATCCACGCAAAATCATCGTTGTCGCTCTCGATTATTTCCATGAAGATGCGATGTAATATTTCGATGGGGAGCCTCTTAACGAATGATTCAACCTGGAGTAACTTGCTCTGTTTCTCGGAGAGAGTCTCCCCGCTGGCGCCACCCCGAGAGAGGTGTGAGCCCAGAGAAGACGCCACAGACGTGCTTTGGCTCATTTTGCGCAAGGACACGTCTTCCCAAGCTCCCTAAAGTATAATCTGCAACAGAGGGAAGAAAAAGAACGGGAGCGTACTGGCATGTATGAATCCACCAACATCCACATGCATGCACACAGAGGGAGGGAGAGAAAAAGAGCAGAAAAGTAGGAGTGAGCAAAACGCAAAATTGCCGATCCGGGACAGAAGTAAGGCAAAATTGGGAACAAGAACCGCAGTATCGGGTGGAAATGCCGGTGAGCCTGCCATCCCGGCTGAAAAGTTAACCACTGACACCAGAAGTAAAGAACGAATTCATTCGCAGCACCACAAAATATCAAACACCATCACATCGTCGGAGTAAATGTGTACATTGGACAAATCACCCACTAGACACACAAAACGCCAAAACAGATTATACGTAAGTAGGAAGGAAAACAAAGAAGCGCGCTTTCATTTCGAGCTCTGTTCTCCAACATATTCATCACACGGCTTTAGCGCAAGCTGGGCAAAGAGAAGTAACTGTGTCAGAGAGTATTCGCACAGCAGGAGATGTGCAGCTTCGCCTCAATGACTTTCGGGCGTCGACAACTTCCTGCCGGGCGCCGCACTTCGGACAATCCCACTTTGACGTCTGCAACGGAGGGAGGACTGGCAGCGGCTGTGGCGCCTCGTGTTCGGCGGAGGAAGCGTCGTTGCTCCGACCACCAGTGGAGAAACTTTGACGCGCATCCACTTTCTGCTGCACTATCTCCCGCCAATTCTGAGGAACGGCCTGAGAGTTCGCAAGGACCTGGTGCACATCCACGCCGCTGGCGCCATGAATGGTGGAGGCGATCATCTCCGCGACAGTGTCCAAAACCTCCTGCTTCTCCTCTGGTGTAAGGCGCATGGGTCTAAGCGCCTTAAAATGATGTCAGAACCCGTTCCCTTGTTTTGCTCCTTCTGATTTCCGCCTTTCGACGCGAAAGCGTGGGGAAGGCGAGCCACATCACGAGCATATAGAAATAGACAGCCAGACTCAAAAGAAACAGATGGAGCCAAAACAAATAGTTTCACCGTCTTTTTTTATGTCCCAGCTTCAAAAAAGTGACGTACTTGCTCCTCATCCTTTCTTTTTGTTTTCTTTCATTTTGGGCGCACAGTACCTTTCTGTTTTCTTTCCGTTCTTGTCCCGTCACTTTTCATATCCGCTCCTGATATCGTGGGGATGTAGCAAGTGACGGTAACCGGCTCAAAGTGTGGCGCACGCTACCCGACTGAGCGCAAGAAACAAAAGATACAACACAACAGTAACGACAGCAACCGAAAGAAAACCTAGCTCACACAGAAAACACAGAGCGGCAGTGGGTAATATATATATATATATATATACCATAGGGGAAAACATTATACTGAGAGGGAGAAGTAATGGCTTGCGTCTCCACCACTCCCACCCCTGCTTCCCTGTTGCCTTTTTCGTCTTGCGGCGAATGTGTTTCTACATGAGCCGGCAGCAGCCGCTGTCGCTGGGCCTCACCTCGCTCCGCTTACTGGTGCCCGGCTTATCCCCCTCCTTGTCGCGCTTCACCAGCCCGGAGTTTTTTTGCAACACTAGGTGCATGAGCACCGACTTGGGTTCCTCCCCGTCCTGGGGAGCAGAAGGAGCATCAAGTCTACAGTCCTGCGCCTCTGCAGCGGTGAGAACACTGCGCAGCGGTGTGTCGTCTGCGAGAAGATTCCCAGTTTTAAGTATCTTTAGCTCCGCAGTGTTGATGGTGTCCCGCATCTCCGATAGGTCACTGGGCCAATCTCTCCGTATTAAACTCTTGATGTGCGCCGTTGTGGTAGGGGCGCCGTTCTCCTGCGCCAGCGGCACCTCCAGCTGCACCTGACGGCCTGAGTAAGACGGATGGCAGGCGCCGCTGAGGACAAAACGCACGCGAACACACATCTCTCTACTCATGCCTCTTTTCTGCTCGTTCCTCACTACTGCTATCCTACAACAACAGAAAGAAAAAAGCGAAGAAAAGGCACAGAAAAGAAACAACGCGTCTTCATTGTTATCACCTTCCACTCACGCACACATGCCCACACACACACACACATTAACACACACAAGCAAACACACCTTCGCGAAGACACGTGTAGGATGTCTGGTGCCAATTTTTGACATGCAACAGAAAATGCTAAAAGGCTGTCCCACAAGCCTCCGTGTTGTGTGCTGCAGCAGGAGCATCCGCGAAAACGACGCCACCGCGGTACGATGGACCGTTGAAGTCGAACGGAAGCATGCCGTTGTACTTTGCCCACGGCTGACGCCGTGCCTTGGAGTATGTGGTACCCACCAATTCACCCCCGCTGCGCACGCGGTTCCGCACTTGCTCATTGATCATCTGCTTGCGGCTAATAAACTTCGCTTCAGAGCGGTGCCAGCCCCACAACGCCCACATATCATGAGGCATCGGCTTTGCACCCTCTTCATTCACCGACAAGTGACCGGACTTCGCGGTGAATGAACCGAGTCGGTCAAGCTGGTCCATCCACATCTGGAACTCTGTGTCGAGGCGCATGACGGAACTCAATGCGCCACATTTTACACCTTCAAGAAAATACGCTTCAGCCTTTTCACGCGGCTCGCACGTCAAACGAACCGCCAACATCATGTTCACGTACGTCTGGGCATTGGGCTCCAGTCCGAGGGAGCGCATTTCACCCAGCAACTGCTCGCAACGTGGGAAGTCCTTTGCAAAGGCAGTTGCCTGTATAACAGCATTGTAAATGTAGTGATCTGCGCCAAAGCGTTTTAGATGGTGCCGAAATATATCGTCAACCTGCTTCATGTATTTCCTCGGTTCCTTCTCCACCTTAGGCATCAGGTGCACCACTGTCTTCTCATTGTGTAGCCGCGTCCAGAAAGTCTCATCGCGGTTCTTCAAGTAGAGTCGAAACATTGCTTCAGGTGTCAATTCAAAGTTGTCGCCAGTGTTGTAGAAGCCGATCTCCTTCGGCCACTTGGTGTACCCTAAAAGGCGGAACTGCAGCTCTTGCCACGAGTTCGGGTGTCGACGCGGAAACGCGAGATTGAGCGGCACAAACCGTTCGAGGGTCCGCTCCGACATCTTTGGACGCCATGCAAGATTCTTCCCACCACGCCGTGTGCGTCCCGGGTTGTGCGTCCAGCCCTTTTTGAACAGAAGCTCGCTACGGCGCAACATACAGGTGACTACCTACAATTACTCCCCACCCCACTGCGCATGTAACGAAGAAAAGAAATGTAAAAATGAAAAAAAAATACCACAAGACAGAAATGACCGATAAATAATT